CGCCACGGCCGTGGCTGTGGTACGTCTTCGCCGGCGGTGGAATCGACGGTCCATAGTATGCCCCGTTCAGGTGTGGTTGCTTCTCCGCCATGAGTCGGTCGAAATTCCTCAGAGATAATCCGAGCGAAGAAGAAGAAGAAGAAGAAGAAGAAGATTTCCCCTTTTTTTTTTTTGAAATAATGATTGACAAATATACGAATATTCAGTGAAGCACGGATATGTATCTCTATATATATATACAGGGGATATATGCATAGAGGAAATAACGCGTGTGTGTGATATGACGCGGAAGCGGAGTGGTTGTGGGAAACGAAGTCAATAAGACGCGGTTGCGGTTGCGTCTGCGGGATGATTTTGGATTGGTTATGAGATTTACTTGTGAGACCGACCGATAAATTTATTAATATATTAAGGATAATATAATTTCAATCTCTGAATAAATATACATTTTTATCTTATATTTAATTCTAAATTTGTCTCATAATTCATGAATCCCTCCTTTTGTTGCGTCGTTTTTCGGTTTTGGATTAGTTCCTTTTAAGGTATTTTGTATCATGCGTTTTGGTTTTTAAGGTAAGTGATAATACGTGTGTTGGTTACCAATTAACTATTAAATCTAAGATATAGCGAATACGTTTCTACCATTTATAACGTAATCAAAGTTATCACGGAAATAAAATATCCGTGTTATATATATATATAAATTTATAACCTTCTTTCTTCATCCATATTACATTTTTTTTAAAAAAATTATTGAAGCTCTTTTGTTTGCTATTACATGTTAGGTTTTGGTGTCTGTCTCTTCCATGACAGTGTCCACATGGTTTCTGCATCTTTCTATTTGTACAAATAATCCCCAAAAAACATTATTCTGCTGTTAGTACCTATTAAATAATATTCGCCAACACTCTATAGTATTTTGATGATGCGAATTTTTGTTCCATGGTACGGGGCACAACTGGGACGGATCCGAAATGTTCGGGATCTATTCGGATAACTGAACAATTTGTTCAACCCTCGAAATAGATTGCAGGGTTGCGTCTTCTTTGTTCATGATCAAGATCAAAGGGAATCTTCATTTTCTCAAGCCATGGATCTGTCTGTGGAGTTTATGACATGAAAAAAAAAACTGGTTTCTTGATCTGGTAATGAAAGCTTGCATCTTGTAGAATTCCATGTCTTAAGACCAAAAAAAAACCTAACCAAGAAGAATTTTCTGAAAGTGATGTGACTTAAGCAAAGCATGAACAAGAAGAAGAAGAACACGAACTAAGAGCAACCGATTCTATAAGACAACATTAACATCTGAAAGAAACAGTAGTAAACCAGAGAGAACATAGTTCCAAGCTATCTATAGAGAGGGAAAAAAAACACGAATACCCGAATTTCCGCTCTCTCACCGCCCATCTGCCGAAGTAAAAGACTCGGCGAAACCCGTAGGCCTCGAGGGGATACTTCCCTTACTATCATCCAAATCAACGTAACTAATCTCCTTTCCTTCAGCTTCTTGCCATCCTTTCACCATCTGGTTAAGTGGAAGACTGTAATCTATTCCCGAGTATTCCTCCGTCTCATCATCGAGAGGTTTCCAGTTCTCAACGAGTGGACAGAGAACACTCACAGCATGGCTCATGTCGGGTCGCTGGTTGGGCTCTCGGGCTGTACAATGGCCTGCAAGTTCTGCAACTACGCAGATACTCTCGAAAGTTTCGTCTTTTACATCGAGGGTATTGTCAATGGCGGCTCTAAGCTTTTGTTTGTCTGATTTCATGTGCCAAAACCATGAAGCTAAGTACTGGCTCTCCTCGGGTCTGTCCTCGTCAAGGGCCATTAGTCCAGTGAGGAGTTCCATTAACACAACCCCGAAGCTAAAGACGTCTACTTTCGTGGTGATCTTTCCCATCACTGCATTTGGGTAGATATATCAGTAGAACGGTAACGAAAATTTGGAGTTCAGATTTAAAGAAATCAGATATCAAGAGGCAGTAGGCTTACCAGCATATTCTGGAGCCAAGTATCCAAAGGTTCCTGCAAGTCTGGTCACTACAGATTTCTCCGTATCGGGAGCGAGTTTCACCAGCCCGAAATCCGAAATCTTTGCTCTGAAATCATCACCGAGTAAGATATTTGAAGATTTAAGATCTCTATGTATGAAGCTCTGATGAGCTAGGCTATGGAGATACTCCATTCCCCTTGCTACATCCAGTGCAATATTTAACCTCCTCTTCCATGAGAGAGGTTCCAATTTCAAACTCTTCCAGTGAAACAAATGCTTGCTAAGAGCTCCTTGTGGCATGTACTCGTAAACCAACATTCTCTCATTCCCTTCGATGGAATAACAGAGTAAAGACACCAAATGACGGTGACGAACTTTGGAAAGAACCGAGATTTCAGCATGGAACTCATTCAAGGCCTTGGTGCTTATGACACCAGCCTGCATTCTCTTGACAGCTATTTTCGTCCCATCCTCTAGCTCTCCTTTATATACAATGCCAAATCCACCTCGTCCAAGCTCATTCTCCGGAGCAAAATTCTCCGTGACATTTCTGAGGACTTGCAGTGAGATAACCAGATTTCCAGACTCAATGACATGTGAACCAGCCATGCTGCTACTGTTTTTGCTCGCAGAACCCCTTCCAGTGGAAGTGCTTCCATTGATGTCATTCACAACAGCAATCTTAACCAAGTTGTCTGAATCAGACCGATCTCCCGAGTGAATCACTGGGGGATTTGGAGCTAAGCTGTGTGTTCTTCTCCTCTTTGAACAACAGTAGATAGAAAGAGGAACAACAATTAGAGTGATAATGGCAACACTGGCTAAAGGAGCAACAACAACAACAAAAACGGGATTTTTACCACTTTTCGGTTTGTTTATTCTAGCACCAGAGCTATCATGAGGAGAAAAGGAAGGCCCTTTGGCCCGTGGAGAGCGAGTACGATCCTCTGGGGATCCTGAAGTACTAGAAGGCAGGTTTCCCATTGGTGAGGGAGATGTAATAGACCGATTTTTCGAGAACAAAGGGTTCCCATCTATGACAAAATCTAAGGTCTTACTAAACTTTGGTAATGGTGGAGATATGTTGTTGCCACTAAGATCCAAAGTCTTGAGAGATTTCAGAGCAGTCCAATTCTCAGGGATTGGACCGTTTATATGGTTAAACTGAAACCTAATCTGAGAAAGTGAACCTAATTTTGCAACAGAAGGGCTCAATGTACCGGTAAGATTAAGTCTAGGCAGGTTCATGATCTCGATCTTTCCTTCAGCATTGCATCTCAAGCCAAGCCAAGATCCTCCACATGGATCATTACCAACCCATTCAGAGGCAAGCCTCGGAGGGTAATTCAACTCACGAAGGAACTCAATAAGTGTCATAACCTCTGGAGCACAAGCGAATCCTTCTTTGGTTTGACAAAATGGATTCTCAGCATAAATTACATTAGTAACCTTAAACTCAGGAATTGGACCCATGAGGAGGTTATTGTTTAAATCCAAACGATCTAATAAAAGATCAGCCAAACTCTGAGGGATCAGACCAACAAGTTTATTACCATTGAGATCAAGATCCTTCAAGAGAGTTAAATTACCTACACTTTCAGGGATTGGACCACTGAATTGATTGCCTTGCAGCCAAAGGACTTCAAGAGAACTGATTAATGTCAAAACGTCAATAGAACCCGTTAAGCCACCACTTCTCTGATTGTTGAGAGACAATGTTCTTAGCTGTGATTGTCCAAAGCTCGGAGGAATCTCACCTGACAAGCTATTGTCAGAGAGCCTGAGGTTCGTCAAAGATGACATGTTCCCAAGAAAACCAGGCAATGGTCCAACCAGATTACAACTCATACAAGAAAGATTGGAAAGCTGTGAAGAACCCTGCAATGATTCAGGGAACATCCAACCAGCGGTGGAATTGAAGTTGTTGTGATCCAATGCCAGAACTTGGAGACTCGAAAGCCCATCAAAGAAATTTCCAGGGATCGAATCGAAAGCATTGTAATCAAGGTAAGCAAACTGTAGCTTGGCTAAGCCACTGAAGGAAGGTAATTTCCCGGAGAATTGATTCCTTTGAAGGCCCACATTGATGAGCTCTGAGAGCTTGTTGAGATTATATGGTAAGTGACCCTTGAGACCAAGACCCTGAACTTGAATCTGAGTAACTCTGGTGTTTTCGCAGAATACATGTTTCCAGCTAGGTTGTCCGCACGGATCGTCGCCATTGTCAGGCCACTGTAGAAGCTCTGGATTCTTCAATCCGTTGCGAATCAATCCGTTGCGAAACTCGTTGAGAACATCAAGGTCATTGGGATCTGTAGTAGAAAAAGCCACAGAGACAATACAACAAACAAGTGGAAGAACAAAAAGCTTCGTCTTCAAATGGGTTTTCATGGTGGATGTTCGCCGACACATGCGGAAAGAGAAAATCACATCACATCACTAATGGCGCCACAATCAAGAACCGACCTCGAATCTGGAATGAAACAACAAAAAGAAACGAAATTTAGGCGAACCCAGATGGGGAACGAATTCAGACAAATTCGAGAAGCTATTACACAGAAAAAGGAAAGGAGAAAGAGAACACACGGTAACAGATAAGGGAAGAAACATACGACACAGAGGGAATTCCATTTTTTTTTTCACTGGAGGAGAATTTATGCCAAATGATAAAATCTCATAAGCAAATCTTAATCCATTATAGTATAAGATACTGGAGAAAAGGCAAAGTTGTCTCTTTGCTTCATTGCACCACAAAGCTTGCCTCTTTATGATTCCTAATTCTCTCTCTCTCTCTCGTATATCTCGTGATCTCATCAATGGGGATCATATGCAAAAGGGTATAATAGTCATTCTACATCTTCTATAGATAGCGTGCGAAACTAATTATGTAAACAATTCAAATATGATATCTAAAAGACCAAAAAAAAAATAGCATTTTCAATATGATTTCTCACTTGTGACGATATTCAAATAGAATTCTATATAAATTGGAATAAATAAGATATTTTTATAATAGAACTTGAATTTTGATATAAACCTAATTGGAAATTTATTTATTTAATATTAAATCCCCGTAATAGAGTAATCAAGCATGAAGAAATGGGTAACTCATGAGGACAATGAATGAAACATAAGCCAAGCCGCAACATAAGGGATTTTACTCCCTCGACATCATCATTACACTTGTAAATTTTCAAATATTCATTCGGTAATTATCAATTCCGATTTTACTAATAAAATCTAAAAAATAGTTTAACCAACTTAAATTTTTTGACGATTTTTTTTTTTATAAATAATGTTTTAAAGTGTAGTTAGACGTCGAACAAGATCTATAACGCCAGATTATAAATTTATAAATTTTAACATTTTTAAAATAAGAGTGAAACAGAAAAATAAATAAGAACTAAAGAACCTAATGTCTCTGGTCATGCGTTTGAGCTTTGACAGGTTCGATTAAATTTTCCAAGTGGGAACTGTTAATGGGACAATGATTCTTCCAAATTATTACATAAACGAACAAAATAGACAAATATTTTATAAACCAATAAATTCATATTTTTACTATAACAAAATAGAAATTTTATACGCCTTTGAAATTATTCCACGTGACACATAGCTAAACTCGAAAATTTAAAATATATTATCACTGTCTTATCTATATATATGTTGAGTCGGTTTAAAAAAGAAAAGGTTTTCCATCTGGAATTTTAGTAAGTTTGGGCTCAAAATGTAAGCCCATTTACTTTCTTATGGGCTCAATCACAGAGGCCGAGCACTAATGGCCCAAATAGTGGCTCAGGCACGACCAGATCCGACCCGACCCGATACTTAAAACCCGTTCCCATCTTTCGGCTCAGGCGGTTAATTCACAAAACCCTAGCTTCTGTTTCTGCATCCTGTTTCACTCTCCGTCTGGTCGATTCGAAGTTCTTTAGCCATGGTTCGTTCTTCTTCTCCGCCTCAATCCCGATTTCGTCTTGGAAAGTTTGAGCTTTTTCTACTTCCCAATTCGGTCTCTTGGAGCTCTTTCCTGATTTTTTTTTCCCTTTGATTTGTTTGGTGTATGGAAACAGCCGCAGGGAGATTACATTGAGCTTCACAGGAAGAGGCATGGATACCGCCTCGATCATTTCGAGCGCAAGCGCAAGAAGGAGGCGCGTGAAGTTCACAAGCGCTCCGCCATGGCCCAGAAGGTTCGGATTTCTCCTCCTGTTTCTGCATCGATCGTCTTTTATTCATCTTCTTCTTCTTCTTTTTGGTTTGTTTTCCTTTTGTTGATTCGATTAATGTCTGAACTGTTTGTTGGAAAACCAGGCTCTGGGTATAAAGGGTAAGATGATTGCCAAGAAAAACTATGCTGAGAAAGCCCTCATGAAGAAGACGTAAGTTTTTTTTTTTGCCTCTTCTCTAGTTTCAACATATTGTCTGACATTCTGTCAGTGTATTGTATTGTGGGGAACGTGGAATGTAGCGTTTTGTTTGGTGTTTGCTAGTTCTGTAATAACGAGTGGTGACATTTCGTGGGGATTTTGGACGATCTTTCATTAATCATACGTCGAGAACTTCTATCCGTATGTGCAATATTATCTGTTGATGCTTTGTCAGGTTTTCTTACATTTGTTTGATTGGTCGATACAGATTGAAAATGCATGAAGAGTCATCAAGCCGACGGAAGGTTGACGAGGATGTTCATGACGGAGCTGTTCCTGCCTATTTACTTGATCGTGAGAACACTACACGGGCCAAGGTGGATTGTGTTTTTGGTGGACATTAACAAATTCTGAATGATTTGTTTGGTTGTTTCATGATCAGTTTTGTTTCCAAATTCGATAATTTTCCTGTGTAGGTTCTGAGCAACACCATTAAACAGAAGAGAAAGGAGAAAGCTGGGAAATGGGAGGTCCCTTTGCCAAAGGTAGGATTGTATTACTGACTCCCAATAGTTTGATAATTGTATTCCGTGCTTCGAATGTGCATTCTCTCAGTAGATTTCCCAATGAATGGCTATATCCCTTCTGTTTTTTTCCTTCTCTTTTGCCTGACAAAACCACTTTCTTTTTTCAGGTCCGCCCTGTTGCTGAAGATGAGATGTTTAGAGTGATCCGATCCGGGAAGAGGAAAAGTACGTATTTCCTCTGACGTCATCCCGTCCGTTGTTTGGTTTATTTTTTCATGCTCGTTACTAGTTACTCACTTACTCGTTAGATGCCACTGTGTAAAGTTTTTGTCTGTAACCCATAGTTATGGAGGCTAAGAAGATGATCGAATGGGTTTTAGCTTATAAGCTAAGTGGTTATTTGCAATCTCTGACGTTTGGCCCTCTATGTATCGAACTGTAGCCAAGCAATGGAAGAGGATGGTTACAAAGGCTACATTTGTTGGACCTGGTTTCACTAGAAAACCGCCCAAGTACGAGCGTTTCATCCGTCCATCTGGGCTACGGTTCACCAAGGCTCATGTCACCCACCCTGAACTAAAATGCACTTTCTGTCTCGACATCATTGGGGTCAAGAAGAACCCTAATGGTCCTATGTATACCTCTCTCGGTGTGATGACTAAGGGGACAATCATCGAGGTTTAATTCTAAATTCTGAAGCCGAAACCTTCCTGCAACAATTATATTTCTCAAACATTGTACACTTTGGTGGTGGGTTTCAGGTCAACGTGAGCGAGCTCGGTCTTGTTACACCTGCTGGAAAAGTCGTGTGGGGTAAGGCGGATATACTCGTGCGCTGAACTAATAATGTTTCTGCAACTGTGTTCATCTTCCCCACTGGTTTCTTATTACTCTTCTTGAATGGATGGCAGGGAAATATGCACAGGTTACGAATAATCCCGAGAATGATGGCTGTATAAATGCAGTTCTGCTCGTGTAAGCAATCCCGAGATCGAGGCTGAGAAACCCGTGCTAACCGAAGAGGGAGTGTTGTCTCGAATCATAGCAGAGTATTGTCTCGAATCAAACCTTCCTCTTACAGTTCTTCCATGGGAGAGTAAGTGACCCTTGTTCTCTACCACAACAGCTTGCGACGATCTGATCGCTTACAAAAAAAAAAAAAACGTTTTATTACATAGTTTTTGCTGTCTTTGCATGTCGTCACGGCCTGTAACAATATATTGGCAGGAAAAAAATTCTCGAATTTTGGGTGTCGGCTACTGTATGAGATGAGATCGAATTGTTTAGCAGAAAAAAATTCGAAAACTGGATTTAGATTCGGGTAAAATTATTATCCATGACCATAAAGTACATGATGAACAGTTATTTTTAAAATTACAGAAATTTCGAGATTTTTCTCTTGAAATTTCAATGTCTTTTTCAAAAGTTAAAACACGGGTCGAATAAATCCAGTCTTGAATTTTTGGGTCACTGTCCGGTCTAGGCCTTGTCTGGTCGGGTTTTAAATGTATGTAATGTAACCATACATTTATAGTTCTGCAAGACATCTCAATCGTAAGGATTTTCTTTGACTAGAATATAATAGAAACGTAAGAAAACAATTATATTTTCACAAAAAGCAAGAAATAAAGGGTACGAAATGTATGAAAAGATTTTTATTTTGATTCTAGGTTTTTGGGAAAATATGTTTATTAAATAATTATAATGCCATAGCGGTAGTAATGTGACCATTGGTTAATTTTACAATATAAATTATTTACGTCAAAATATAAAAACGAACGATATTTGATTGAAACGATTCATCTTTTAGCAAAACGGAAACTGATTTGGGATCGGGAAAATAGGTTTGTCGGCCCGTACTTTATCACAGTTGACATTGGTGGGTCGGGTTCTCTTTGGATTTATTAGCCTTCGGCTTAATGCTACTAAGAAAATGTAATTAATATTATTTTGTTTTCATATAACAATATGATTTATTGGTAATGGCTCTTCTTAGTAAGCCCATGTGATAGTTATTTTCTTTACGTAGAAAAACTTATTTTGATTATCACAGCTAATTTGTTATAATTTATAAATACTCCAACCCAAGTTATATATATCTATATAGCCTAGCGAGGTTTAATATTCGTATACTATTGAAAATTAATCGTAATATTGATTTTTTATATATCTTATTATCTTTTGTACTTTGTTTGATTTAGATTCGTTTAGAGTTATATTTCTTTTGGAATTGAAAGTTTTATAAAAATAATAAATATTCTAATTTCTTTCGATATTTCGTATTCCTCGTATATAATTACCCCACGATTCTGTATCCACATTAGAAACGACATGCATGCATGTTGGGTCACGAGGAAGCACCTTTGGTCCAAAGTTTGCAAACAAAAATGCTATAACCAAAGTACAATGCTTTCATAAATTCCCATATATACATGCACATGCACGTATACATACACATACACTCTGACATGTACTCATTTTTATCTCTCTTAATGTATTAGACCTAATTTTACCACATGTCCCAAATGCGATATCGACAAAAGTAGCGTGGCGCATATTTGATTGTGCCGATTAGATGTCACAGTGTTCTTGAAAAGTGACCGATTGATATAACATGTGATTGATATAATGGTTAAATTAAGCACGTGTCATTTCATGCCTAATATTTTCTTTTGTGCCAGAGAAAAACCTATCAAGTGTTCGTTTTAACGGACGTTTGCGGGAGATATTCTATCTAATTAATTCATTATCTTCTTGATATAGACTAGAAATTAAATAGCTACTAAAAATGAATCTAACAATATTCTATACAATTAAGTTATCTTCATAATGGTGTAGATTATAAATTAAATTGCCACTAAAAAAGGAATTAAATTTTATACCATGGTCTTTGCTTATTGCATTATTGACATGACAATCTTTCAAAAATTACTTTCAAATTCATTTAAAAAAAATATCCAATTATAAAAAACAAAAAAAAATATTGTTTTTTTTTTAATTTACGACAGTTACACTGGCAAAGACAATCACATGACTTCCGCAGCAATTCCAACTCACGTTATGTTTAAATCAGTAAAATACCTTTCGTATGAAATCTAGATAAAGGGGGATAAATTGAAAATCTTGGATTAAAAATATATGTTTTATTGGACATTCGAAGTCAATTTCAATACTTTAGACTTTTTTTTTTGGAAAATTACTTTAGAAGATCACAAGTCATAATTTTAAATAAATAAAAAAATTTGATTCCATTGACCTCATACATGTTCCAACATTTTTTTTCATTTCCTTCAACACTCTTTATTCCATTTTTATCTTAGGTTATGTTCTTCATTACCCTTTTAGATAAGACAACTAAACAACAACTATAAGTGAAGATTTTAAAAACAAATCACATAATCATGGATATATACATACATACCATCATAATAAGAAAATTCGAGATTTGTATAATTAATTTTTTTGGACTATTTTTCCATAAACTGCCGAGGAATATCCCACAATAAAGAAAAGGGATTTGTTTCAAAAATATATTAAATATTTTTCTTGAGTATATACTTAAATTAATTATTCAAGCATCTTATTTGTTAAAATTGATTGTAGTACGTCACTCATTAATTATCAATATCTAAAAGCCGACGACGAGCGATGACATCAACTAAGAATCTGATGATGTCAAATTATTAATTTTATTCTATTTTTATATTATTATATGTACATATTCTTAATTTTATTCGATTTTTATAATGTATATCACCATCGGCATGGTAGACTATGGGGGAATATTACTTGAAACAGGATTTGTTCAATACAAAGGTTGGCTTAGTCTACTTTGTCACGGTTGTTCATATACTTTGTATCAAATAGATAAGAATATTGCTTTTTCGATAAAAACAAATAGAATCAAATTATATCCAAATAAAAATTAATCAGATTTAATTTTAAAAATCAAACTAGTAAAATATTTAATGTTATCATAACTTAAAAAATCATTTTCAATATTCTTTTACTCTCATCCATCGTGGCGGTACCCATTTTATTTTTATAAATATTGTTAGACAGTTAAATTGACAACAAGAAAATCTGAAATTAAAAAAGGCCGTGTGAATGAAAGAACTTTGAGAATATATTTTTATTTTAAAAATTCGGTATTAATAAAAATATTAAATTGGTAAAATCGTTAATCAATAATATTAATTGGTTACATGCCTAATAAATAAACTTAGAGATGTCTACATTATCAACAAAAAAAAATGAAAAGATAACGAAAGATAATTAATAAATATATCATTGCAACATTATATATAATATCATTGATTTGGAGTCAGAAAACACCTCATCCTTCGTCTTCTTCAACCCCCTCGCGACCCCCCCTCTCTCTCTCTCTCTCTCTCTCTCCCCTTATTCAACTCCTCATTTCTCCCTCCGTTTTCGGACCAACTTCGATTATACCACCGGATCACAAAATTCCCCGCCGATTTTACCGCTTGATTCTCTGTTTTTTTCCCTCTTCGGCGGGCTCTGTTTCTCGTCTCTGCGTGCTTCCTTGTTGCCTCAGCCTCTTTCCGACGTATCTTCGCCGCCGATTTCACGGCGCTGCGTCGGCCGAGACTTCGATTTCCGGTATCTGGTTCTGGGCATTTCTGTTCAACTCCAAATATAATATGGGTCGTCTTCCTCTTCTTCGAATTCCGAGACACGGTGATTGAATTTTTCTTGGGGATTTTCTCTGATCCCAAACAGGCCCTTTCGAATTTCCGCGAGTTTCTCGTGCCATTGAGATAAAAAAATCTTCGTCAGAGCTAATAATCTGGATCTTCATCTCCGTTTCCGATTCCAAATCCCTAAAATTTCAGACACCGAATCGAAATAATCTGTGGCCGTTTTTGTTTTTTTTTTTCTCCTTTTTTCTCCGGCGACGATAATGTCCACGACGTTGCGCTTCGACACGAGGCAGACCTCGCGGCGGTTGCCGTCACTGATCCGTACAACTGATACTCCGTCGCCGTCGCCGTCGCTCAGCAGGAGACAGCCTCTCCTCCAACGGAGCCTCTCCACGCCGACGCCGAGGGCTTTGTCGTGCACCGGCGGAGCCACGGCAGCGGAGTTCTGCGGAGGCACGACGGCGAGCTGCGCCGCCGTGTGGTGCTGCTGTCCCTGCGGACTCGGAAAGCTCCTCGTCCTCGCCGTCTACAAAGTTCCGGCTGGTCTCTGCCGCCGCGCCCTACGCCACCGCCGCCGGAAACGCCTCGTGAAGAGCGGACATCTTCCGCCGCCTCCGCCTCCGGATACCCACCGGAGTCACCGCCGCGGGAGCTCAGAGTTCGCTATCTATCCGTTGGAGAGCAGGGACGCCTCAGAGGACGAGGACGATTCGGGGGAAATCGACAATGGCGCCAATGCTGGCGGCAGCAGCCGCGGAGGAGGAAGACGCGGCGGTGATAGCATTGGAGAAGGAGATGTGGAGCAGATTCTACGGCGCCGGATTCTGGCGAAGCCTGTCGGAACGAGAAACAGTGTCGAAGTCCGCCGCACCATCGCCGCCGTGGCCATCTTTCGCCGGCGGAGAAGCCGACAACGAATGATGAATGATGGGAACTGGGAAGTGTAAAAAGTGTGCTTTTTTATATCATTTTATGATTCATTTTTCCACGATCCCTTTGGTATATGATTTTCGAATTCACAATATGATCATTATACGATCGATCATCTCATGACGAAAAGCTTAAAAATATAATGGTCTGAAAAATCTATATCATATATATAATTAGAGGCAGTTTTCCAGGTTTTTGTTAGTATTTGAGTTTGATTCGATTTTTTTTTGGATTTTTCACTTATACATAATTATTTGATTTTATGTTGAATTAGATTAGTTTTTTTATGGATTACATTAAAAATATTAAGTTTGTAAACAAAAGCGTCGTCCAACAAGATGCATAATCAAACAGAAACTAACATTATTCAGTGTATATACACACACATATACATACGCAATAAAAGGAAGACAGGATCTAATGTTGAGGCGTACGGACGAGGAGGGGCTATAGAAACCTAATGACACTAAAACACATAATGGAAACATGTAGCAAAATCTTTGTTGGCTAATTTCCAAAAAAGGAATCTTTTGCATTTGACGACTAAGTAAGAAAACGAGATTCCGTAACTCAGTAAATATACAGATGTACAATTCTAATCCCATCCCTTCGTAAATTTACTTTTAAAACCTAAATGTAGTTTCTTATTTTATCTTATTTCCCATGATATTTTCCCTATTTTTATAATTAATTTTGATATTTTAAACCACATAAATTTGTCTATATTGTGCGAGAAACGAAATTTAAGTACGAAAACTAAACAGGAAAAACAAAAGTTTACTCTTGTTTCGTTGTTTATATCGTGTAACTTTGTTATTCCAGTTATTATGATATTCCATCTAGTTAGGTTTAATATGAATAATAATAATATATGCCATGTAACATTATATATATATATATATATCGAGATGTGTTTCTATCGGGCGAAAGATATTCATTTCGAAGATGTAGTTAGATAAAAAAAATTCAGATTATAGAAAAAACATAACATATATATATATATATATATCATATAATCTTTTAAATATATTACATATAAAAATTATAAATTTTTTTTGGAAATTACGAAATAATATCACTGACCTAACGGGCAAAAACAATTAGAAACATATCTCCCGAAGCTTTAAATTAGATTCGAATAAAACAGACATGAAATTCTGAGGATGGTAAAAAATTAAAATATAGGAAAAATAGAGATAATGGTGGTGGGAAGTGTAGGCTTTTTACCGTAGGCACCAACTAGGGGCCTAGAAAGTCGCTTTCAGAACGCGAGAAAAGAGGGGTTCAGGTGGTGAATCCAAATTATAATAAAAATGTAAAAAAAATTTAACAGTCATTATATAATGTACTCTAAAACATGGTAGGTACATGTTTGGCTATACTTTAAATTATTCAAATTTTGTATATATTAATTTTAGATTTTTTGAAATTAAAATTTATAGGAGGAAATTATATTTGTATAAAATTTAAGAAACATCTTAGTTTAATAATTTTGTAATTTAAAGAAATCAAAGAGAGTTTTTATAATTTTAATAAATACAAATATTTATTCATACTCGCGATAAATTTGTGAAACTTTGAATTTTATCAATAGATAATTCCAATATACAACAAATCTAACTCAATCTAAATTATGCAGAGATTAGATTTCCGTATTTAAAAAAGGTCGGTAAATTTCACTACCACGGGGAAGGGTGGAGTGATAATTAAACCAGTCTTCGTGTAAACTGTCATTGTCCTGAAGCTCGTGGTCATAGTGGGCCCCATGATTTCTTTTTTTACCCCCACCCTGAGCATTAACTGCGATTTTCCTACCCCCACCTTCTCTTTCTATTTTCTTTACCCCTCATTTATTATATTTTTATTTTGTTTAAAATTGTTCCTTTTATTTGTGTTGAATTCCATGGAAAGGTTTTCATAAAATAAGGCTTGGGAAACAAAATTCACAAACACCTTAAATAGTATAAAAGTGGTCCACAAGAAATATATATTTTAGTTTTATTAAGTGCCTTTAATTCATAAATTTTAAACCTTTTTCTATTACATTATTTGTTACGTTTATTATATATATCTACTAACGAATTGATCTAATATTTTCCATATGTGTCTTCGATATAATATCGTCAGTTTTAATTTATTTATTTTTTAAATATAACCGACCAGGAATCCGATTTGTTTAAGTTATATTAAACGTAACTTAATCGAATAGATCGATTTTTTTTTAATCTCGAACAAATCTCTTTTAATCGAATAGATCTATCAAAGTTAGGATGGAACATAAATCTTTGCATATATATATATATATATATGTATATATGTACCCTAGGTAATTGATTATATAATATTCAATCCCAGTGTATGGTGAGAAACACAAATACATATACTATTGTCCAAAAAATCTTTAAATATCATTGGGCTATATATATTATACGGATTACGTGTGATTATTCGTGAATTTATTTCTAATATGTGGGGATTAGATAATGTTCACATAATATAATAGTTGCCGACTAGTCGGTTATTTTACTTTAGTTTATTAATATATATATATATATATATATATATATATATATATATATATATTTACTGTCTATTTTTTGTCGACGTGGAGGGACACGTGCAAATGTTGAAAACTAATTCAACGTGCCCTTTCGGTTCTTTTGGCGTATTAACTATATGTTTCTATACTATTATTCTGACATCATTCTTTTGTTCGTTTTTAATATATAAATATATAAATTATGACATTGACCACAGTTCCAACGCTGGGCATCACCATTATCAAATATATATATACGTGCACATCTATATAACATGCTGAGTTAAATCTTCTTCATGTAAAACCGGCTTGATTAGACCTAATAGAATGATTTTGCTGTATCCAGACTAATACCAATCCAACCCATTTCATAATATAAATATTACATATCAATCACTATCTGAACCCATTGGGCTATTTTTGAGAAACAAAATTTAAGCCTACAAATTACTAACGATTTGGGCCTCAGGAAGTTAATATGCAAATTGAGATCTACTTTCTATATATAATGGTATGTCTATGTATGTACATGAATATGTACGATGTTGTTTGCGATTTTCTAATGCAAAGATTTTTTTTATATTAAATTATTATGTTCAACAATGATATCTATTGAATATTTTTCTTTATTTTTATCCAATTTCTCAAATCGAACTTGAAAGAAAGTTTCATAACATCAAAGGGAGACTGATAAACTCCATAACGGGCCCATTTTTTAAAAAATTTCAAAAAATTCCATTTATTTTCTAGTAGAATTTTTTATGTTTATAATAAATATATGTAAACCATTTTTGATTCAATTCGATATTGTTTGGATTCGATTCAAAATCATCTTTTACGGACAAATTATTTTATTTTTAATATGTTTTGTTTATTTTTTTAAATTTTACTTGGTTTAAATATCTATTTTCCGATTCTAAAAAAACACGTTCCAAATTAATTCGGATTATCCAAACGGGCTTTTAGAAACAATGGTGCGTGAGATGGGCCTAAAAATGGGTCAGAACGGGCTTTTACAAACAAGTGGCATTAAAAATAACAGTAAATAAAAAACAAGGCAGGTGACGGACGCACCGACAGCTTGTCTGAGAGAGAGCCACGTGTTCTCTTACTCGGCTTCTTCTTCTTGTTCCAAGTCTCCCTTCCTTTAAATAATACATCAATTATCATTTTATAATTGAAGTTAAATGATCCAAAATAATATTCCATTTTAATTTGATATAATTTTTTGTAAAAATAAATAAAATCGCTTCCTAACCGAACTCAATAAATAACGAAATGAATCCGATAAATATCTAATTAAATATCAGTGTGAGTACAAATTTCTTTCTTTTTTCGGTTTTAAAACATAAAAATAATTTGGAACTGAACTGATAGTGTACCGAATTACTTTTCTAATTTGAATTTGATACGATTTTTATAAAATCGCGGAATTAATTATGTCGAATGAAAAATGAAACATTACTCCAAATTATAAAATATTTATGACTTTTTAAGGTATATTTAATTATTTATGATTTTTTAAAGTTTAGTGCAAGATGAAGCCGAGCTGAGCCGACAGGAAGAAAGCCACACTCATTTAATGAAAAAAAGAAAAGAAAAAAAACAAAATATTTTTCCGACACTGTTTGGGCCCCATGACCAGCCTGTCCGAAAACCCGCAAAACTAGTACTACACGTTCCAACAAGCCTTCTCTCTCTGCATCTGCTTTCCCCCACCGACGGTTGCTGATTTTTGTTTTCTTCAATCGTTGAGAGCACCATGGATGGCCGCATCTATGGTGTCTCCGTCGTCGCCATTCTCCATCTCCTCTTCTTCGTCTCTTTCTCCGCCGCTTCTGCATTGCCCCATTACCCGAATACCGAACCGGGTCGAAATTACTCTTCCGGGTCGGGTTCGGGTCAGATCAGCTCCAACTCCGTCCTCGTCGCTCTCCTCGACTCTCGTTACACAGAGCTCGCCGAGCTCGTTGAGAAGGCCCTTCTCCTCCAGACACTAGAAGACACTGTCGGCCGACACAATATTACCATTTTTGCCCCTTGCAATGAAGCTCTCGAGCGAGGGCTCGACCCTGATTTCAAGCGGTTCTTGCTCGAACCCGGCAACCTCAAATCTCTGCAAACTTTGCTAGTGTTCCACATTCTCCCCAAACGGGTCGGGTCTCACCAGTGGCCCGACGAGGACTCGGGTCAGGTCAGGCACGAGACGCTCGGGGAAGACAATGTCCATCTGGTCAACGCCAAGAAAACAGGCAAGAAAATGGTTGATTCTGCTGAGGTTATCCGACCGGATGACGTGACCCGACCCGACGGCGTCATCCACGGGATCGAACGGCTTCTCATCCCTCGGTCTGTTCAAGCGGACTTCAACCGCCGGCGAAGCCTCCGGGAAATCTCTGCCGTCCTACCCACCGGAGCCCCGGAGGTTGACCCGAGAACCCACCGCCTCAAGAAACCCTCATCCGCCGCCGTACCCTCCGGAGCTCCTCCGGTGCTCCCGATCTACGACGCCATGGCTCCGGGACCTTCCCTCGCTCCAGCGCCGGCGCCGGGACCCGGAGGTCGTCACCACCACTTCGACGGGGAGGCCCAAGTTAAAGATTTCATCCAGACGCTGTTACATTACGGTGGGTACAACGAAATGGCCGACATTCTCGTGAATCTGACATCGTTAGCGACGGAGATGGGGAGACTAGTGTCGGAGGGTTATGTTCTAACGGTTCTTGCTCCGAACGACGAAGCCATGGCGAAGTTGACGACGGACCAACTGAGCGAACCAGGAGCTCCGGAGCAGATCGTATATTACCATATAATACCGGAGTACCAAACAGAGGAGAGTATGTACAATGCGGTTCGGAGATTCAGGAAGGTAAGATACGATACATTGCGGTTTCCGCACAAGGTCGTGGCCGAGGAAGCTGATGGGTCGGTGAAATTCGGACATGGAGATCGGTCTGCGTACTTGTTCGATCCCGACATCTATACGGATGGTCGGATTTCGGTTCAGGGGATTGATGGGGTTATGTTGCCGGAAGAGGAGGCTGAGATGGTGAAGAAACCGAGCAGTGCCGCTAAGAAAGTTGTGCAGCCGAGAAGAGGTGAGTATTGACACATTTCCTCGATTGATGTCTTTATGTTTCCCTCTAACTGCTTGTCTGAATCCGTAGTTTTTAGTGCTTAGATTCAAGTTGAGTTAGGACTTAGGGTTGCAGACATGGAGTTTACTAAGGTTAGATGAGGCTTCCGACTGCAAAGGAATTGATTTTTCGATTCTGGAAAGTTTCGGATGACATGCCAAAGTGCTGTAATTATCTCAACGCTCAGTCTTTTGCTTCGAAAGAGAAGCAATGTCGGGAAATGCAGTCTTAGTTCTTGAGTTCCTACTCGTGTAGATATCGGGGAAGTTACTTTTGGTGCAAGATTAGGGTTCCCAAGCATTAGATTCACGCAGTTTGATAGTTCCCGCAGAGGAAGCAACCTCTAAACTATCGAAAGAAATACCACGGAACTCATCACTCCGACTAAAGGGCGATGACCAGAAGCGATAATGCAGATCAGAGAAAGCATTTGGCCGTCGAAAGTATATTATTAGGTCATAGAGATTTAGGAGAATAATCGGTTTCTAAGTTTAAACCGAGATTGCTTAATCACATAACAACAATCATTCATCCATAAATAATGAAGGGTTTTGCCTGACGAAGCTTTTCGACGTTTGTGAATGTTGGAACATGACAGGAAAGTTGCTCGGAGTAGCCTGTCGAATGCTCGGAGGTTTTGGCCACGGCTCGTATTTCACATCATGCCGGTGAATTCACAGTGGATAAAAAAGGCGAAAACTTTGTTCGAAAGGTTAAAACTTGAATTCATTTTCGGGATCGGTTCGTCATTTTCGCGGTCTTTTGTAACGAAAACCGGGCGATAACGATCGTTGGTTTTGATATGAAACAGTGAAGATGTATGGTATGTGGAAGAAGAAGAAGAAGAAGAAATAAAGAGGAATGGTGAAACCATCAATCTGTGGAATGAGAAATGAGAAGAATTTGTTTGGTTTTGTTTTTTTTGGGTTATGAATACTGTAATTAGATATATACATCATTTTTTAATTGGTGTACTGAGTAAATGAGTAATAATCGTCACAAAGTGGAATAAAAAAGCCTTCGCTGATGAACCTTCTCTTTGGTTTCGAGGGTCTGCTCCCTCTGGGACCCTTCTTGGTTGCGTGGCAAAGCACAATCTCCATAATCCTACTGCTGTCATCATCATGGTCATGGTGGTGATGATAATCAACATGGTTGGACATTCGTGATGTCATATATTTATAATATAATGTCTGATATTTTATTTGTGGTAGTGAAGTTGGTGTGGTTGGTTTTTGAGATCCCACCCAAACAACAAACTGAGCTGTTGTGGGGCCACCACCACTGTGAAAAGTCTTTGCCATGAACTTTGTGTTTTCCATATGGTTATAAATAAATTATAAAAGGAAAATAATCGCAAGGGTATTTTTTTCCCAACTTAAAAAAAAACGAAAAGTTCCGATTCTGATAAAATTAAACATACTTAGAAAAATATAATTTGATTTGTATATAGATCCATAATTCTGATATATAATTAGAATGATACACAATTAAAAATATATAGTAGTACCTTAATCAGAATAATTGAATTGATTTTGAAGTGGATATAAGATTAATCAAAGTAATCAAACTGAAGTCAAAGTATAAATCCCATGAATATTATTTTCTATTTTCTATTTCTCTTATTTTTCACATGGGCTATTTCCAGATAAGCTCCATCCACAGAGGGACTCCAGGGTTGAAATCGTTCTACTGAAAAATATGAGCCATTTTCTGTTAGACACAAAGAATACGGGGCCTTATATGCAATTATCGGAAAATGAAGAGTTAACGGACTTCTGCTTCTGACCGTTATTTTTCCCCCTTCCATCGAAAAACAGGACAAGACTTCGAACCACTGAACTGAAGAGTCGTTGTCGAACCTGTAACGAAGATTTCAACTGCTTCGAAAAAGGTATCAGAGGGCAGCGTGCTTCTATTTCTCTTGCAACTTAACAAGATACAGACTCTGAAGATTTTCACTTCCATCGTATAATTCTATAAACTCTCACACAAGAAAGAAAAAAGAACGAAAAGGATGCGCTCGAACGATGAAAATTCAGTTCCGAGACTTGAAGGCAAAGCAACAAACTCTATGTCTTCTCCGTAGCATCGGATTCTTTAAGATGATCGTGTCGTGAGTTTCTCCTTTCTCGGTTCTTGTCTGTGTATCGCTTTCCGCCGTTTGTCCCAAGTATCCTGTTTCCGGCGCGTCTGTGACAGTAGTAGATGTCTGAATATCTTGCTCCGATGATGCTGGAGCTATTCTGGAAATAAGGAGAAGCAGATCAATGATCTATCATGTCAAATCATCAGGAGAAAACTCGGGGGAATCTTGTCCGAATGCGGAATCTCATTCATATTTACCTGATCATATGCATGCTTGAGCCATCATTGTGGGATTCATGTGAAACCCTGTTCAGAACTCCATTGTTCTCCGATAAACTTACGAGCTGCTCCGGTGGATCTTCCGCCATGTTTGGTGGCAATTCTCCATCTGAAAAGCTCGACGAAGAAGATGTACTCTGTCCTTGTGTATCTGTTCTGTATTTCCTTACCATTGTTATTGCTCTCTCTAGAGTTCCCAGAGCTTGTTTCACCTCCGGGCTGACGCAGAATCGTCTCTTCCCATTGATTTGGGCCTCGGAACCATCTTTCAAATCGAAGCTTTCTTCGCATTCTTCTTCCTCAATCTCGGAAAACCCTCTTCTGCGGTGAACAGGTTCGTTTTCACGACCGTGTACATCAGAAAATGGTAAATCTTGCATCTCGTTCCTGCGTTCTTCATCCGGCTCGCTCTTCGTCAGAAATTTGCCATTTTGTTCGTCGCCCTCCGTTTGTCGGACAATTTCATCTCGCGGGTCAACAAACTCTCGGCTACCGGGCTCATTTTCTTCGCAGGTTTCAACTGAATACAGGGCTTGACGTATCCGAGTGTACAATGGATCAGCCAGAGCTTTGCTGTAATCTTCATCAACTTTAGCCACGGAATCAACAGCCTGCACAACGAAAAAACAGCGTATCAAAAGTTTGTTCCACCAAGATGAACCAAACGCCTGAGTAGAAAGCAAATCAGGGTGTCTCGAGTAAAGGACGTATTAAGAAAACCTCGGGTTAAAAACCTTTTTATAGAGCCTAAACCCGTTACCGACGAGCTGTCTAGAGATGAAGTTGATAAGCGATGGAGGGACCAGGTCGAACTTTATATCCATTTCGGCAATCGTCCTGACAATATCAGATCAGGCTTTTACGACCCAACGATACGGTAAAACAATTATTCTGATGCATAACAATAGTAATCTCTTTACTTGTTTTCGCTCACCTGAAGTAACTCCTCTCGGGAGTCACCTTCTGTAAAGCAAATCCGCCTACCACGTCGATCCTCACAGCATTCAGAGCCTCGGGAATGCAATTCTCGGTGAAGTCTTTACTGGAAAATCCAATGCTCTCCAGATCTGATATCTGAAATCGTAAAACAATTGAAAAAGGGTTTCGGGTATCGTTTAACTAACAACGATAGCATGAAAAAAAATCCAGTTATTCTGCTTTACCGTGTTTATCAGGACGATAATTAGACCGTCTTTGAAGTACTCGAACAGAAAATAATGCACAACAGCCTCTCTATCTGACATTGGCCATGGCACCTTCATCCTTTTCTTCCCGAAAAATATCAAATTCCCGAATTAGATCCAGAAAAATGAGAAAGTTAAAAACAAGAACTTATTTCAACGTGGACAGACCTCACTAAGCATATCTGTTCACCAATCCCGACTTTCTGCAAGCACGTGTTCCGCACGACCTTGAACGAAGGAAACAAAGACTGTGGCCACCTGAGAATGAGATATAAAGACAGAAACATAAGACACAAACACAAAAAGATTTTGACGAAACACGGGATCTGATCCGCCGAGTTCTAGGCTCGGGAAGTAACCTCACCATTTCTTGTAGAGGGAAGATTCCCACGACACGCACAGACCTGCGTGTAAGGTAAATCAGTTTCAGTTCTCAGATTCAGGTTAAAGAGTTTATAACTCTTATCTAAAAAAAAAGAAATCTATACTTACAGTCTTCGACGGGTCCATCCACATAACCTTCGACGAGCAAAGTGTGAAAGGGACTTCCTTGAAGTCCTTCACGGTACATAACACGGCAATCTTCATAATCTCCCTTCAACTGTGAAGGAAGAAGGATTCGATTACAAGCTGTAGAATTGATTTGCAGACAAAACCCACACAAATGACAGAAAACAGGAAAGGCCAAGAGGATGTTTTACATACTTTCCAATCACCATATGAAGAAGTCTCACTGCTTCTTGATGCTCCATGATCCTCCACTGATGATGCACTCCTAAGCTTGTCGAGTACATTGGATACATCTGCTGTCCTTTTATCCAGTATATCTCCATTACATTCTTCTAAACACAGAGGAAGAAGATCAAAGAATAAGCATTGGAAACGGGATAAATCGGCATCATTAGATTCGCGGGTAAAACACTAACCTCCGTCTTCACGAGGACATGACAAGCAAAGCTGTTTCCTGATTAGGTTTCTAAGAGTCTCCACACCGGTGAGCTCTGGAGAGATCAAGGTTTTGTCCAGTCGAGTTCTGTAATCTGAGATCTCTCCTTTCTTCTGCATCCTCACATTTCAAGTCTTGACACGAACCTGGAAGAACTGATGTTTATGCACAGTAGTCATCTTCTTTTACAGCTAGAAACAATCATATGCACCCATCTAGCAAATTAGTCTTAAGATCAAGAAGATGCACAGTCAAAAGCAGGATTCAACAAGAAAAAAGGAAAGATGACATAAGTAGGCTGCAGATTGTGTTGGTACAGCGATGGATTGTGTTTCCATATTAGGTAAAAGTAAATGGGTAATTACTAAATATAGCACCAAACAGATGAACTGTATATGCATATCAAGACAACTCATAAACAACCAAAAAGACAGATGAGAAAACAAACCCAGATGATGTAATGGAATTCGTGTAGAGCCAAAAGTCTCCGACTTTTAATCCGATCACGACTCAGAGCGCCGAAAGATGGAACTGAGCTCAAGCTAAAAGCATGAATTACGAGGAAACGGAAGTGACCCAAATCAGAAAACTGAAAAATCCCAAGCTATCAACCGAGAAATCAAGAGAAACCCAGGATCGGAAACCGGAAATCAACACTGCCCAGATCGTTGAGTTCAGTGAAGAACATATACCTGCGACGTACGGCGTTAAACTAGCGATCATCGAGATGATGCGTGGCCGCCGAGACGGGCAAAGAACGTGAGCTGTTTTCCCTCTGGTTCTGTCACTTTCTCGGGAAAATTACAATCATGGAATATTCAATTCAGCTGAATACTAAACGGTTGAGGATCCCGAGAAATGTCAAATTCCGTGATATCAAAATTAAAGCTTTTTAGGAGCATTAATCTGAAGTCGGGACTTGTGGAGAAGTCAGTACAGAATTGTCCTCACGAAATTTTGTTATAGAGGAATGCACCACACGCGCTCATCTGGAGCGCGTGACATATGGCTTCAGCTTGATGCTGTAGACAAATGGCGAAATAGACGCGTGTATGGTTCGATTATTTTGTAAATTATAATTATTTAATTTTTATATTAGATTGCCTTTTGGTTTCATTTAATTCGGATTCGCTTTTATTGATCTTTAAAAATAAAATCCAATTTCGTTAGTTTAATTTTTAAAAATTATACCTTGTCGAGTATGATTATATATTATTAATTTTGATCGGTCCGATTTTGCATAATGAAAACGTTTCTAAGTTTTGTCTAAGAACAGACATAAGTATTATTTTGTAAATTATAATTATTTAATTTTTATATTAGATTGCCTTTTGGTTTCATTTAATTCGGATTCGCTTTTATTGATCTTTAAAAATAAAATCCAATTTCGTTAGTTTAATTTTTAAAAATTATACCTTGTCGAGTATGATTATATATTATTAATTTTGATCGGTCCGATTTTGCATAATGAAAACGTTTCTAAGTTTTGTCTAAGAACAGACATAAGTGATTGTTCTTAGACAGTTTAGACACAAAAAAAAAAAAAAAAAAAAAAACGAATCAAAGGGAACCAAAACAATGAGAAAAATTGTATTAAAAACATTACAAAACCAAAATGGGTTTGAACTGAATTTATATATTTTTTTATTCGGATGTTAATTTCTCCCTAAAACCAAACTGAAATGAAACATATCCAAATATGAAGAGATTTACCAGCTAAAACTAACATGTCATTGGGCAAGTCCAATGTTGGAGCAGATGGGTACGTATACCATACGAACCGGCTTTCAATGGAGGATTTTCAGTTACTTACGAATCAGAAGTGGGTCGGTATCTGACAATCTCGACGCCGAGGAAATCGATGTGGCCCTGAACAAGAGCGACATTCGGCTTCCATAGCTTCACTCGGACAGCCGTTATCGGAGGGAATGCTTTCAGTGTTTTCGTTGCGATCAGTTCTGCAACCGCCTCCAGTAGGTTCTTCGGTGTCCCTTCCACCACTTCCTTAGCTATGCTGCAAAACGATCACTACATACTTCAGATTCATCAGCAAACTTTCAAAAACGGGTTTCAGACATATGATGGAAGAATTTTATCCAAAAGGGAGTATGTGAATCCAAACTAGTTGTCGGGAAAAAAAATGAGAGCAGCAATGGCTGTACTAAACCTGTAGATGTCGACGTAACTGATTGTATCTGTCAGGCTATCGGATTCACCGGCCTTTCGGAGACTCGTCCAGGCGTCTATGTCGAGCATAAACATCTGCCCTAACGTTCTCTCTTCGGGAATCGCTCCATGGTACCCGTAAAACTTCAGCCCTCTCAATATCAGTTTGTCTTCTCCTCTCACTGCTATATCTATACCAATGGAAAAGGCCTCATCAACCCAGATGGAAACAACTATACAAGAGCCTAATAATATCTCATCTTTGAATAAAAACAATGTACCGATTCCACACATTATCGATACCGCAAAGCATGAACAAAGATGATCTTAGATTATTGATACAGCAAATGGGTGAAACTCAAAAGCATTTCAACTTAAATCAGAATCAGCCGAAGCTCCATCAAAACACAGCCACGAGTTATCAACCGGAAAACCCCACAGATGGTATCTTTAGCACTTATGCAAGAAAGACGAGATGATAAACTCAGAATATCGCAAATAGACAACACATATGAGAAATTAAACTCAAAAAACATAACTCAGTAGAAACACAGGACAAAACACTCTGCCATTGATTTCTTCCAAAATATATAAGAGCAACAGTTCTGCAAGTCTCAGAAACACAAAAGTTTGTCTGGAAGACCAAACGAAATCATCTTTTCCTAATTTGTGTTCATCTAGTGATCGTAGAACAAAGAAAAACAAGCTCCAATCCACCATAACAGATCAGAAAGTTCCGGAGAAAAAAGAACAAAACTTATCCCGCAGTTTTCCTCATAAAAGCGAGATCGGAGGGAAACCAAAACAACCCAAGTGAGAAACATCGAATCCAATGAGAAAACTCGGGAGAGTGAAGACAGAGGCCTGGCCGACACAAAGTACAACCAAGCTAACGAACGAACATAAGAACCCCAAGCTACTGAAGTTTTCAGTTATGCATAGATTTTGCATTGGAATCAAAATCAATGGCCCCGGCAATCAATGAGACTGAAAATTCGCCAATTCTGATGATTCTCTATATGCCATAGCAATCTGCACTTAACTTTCCATAAGCCAACAATCAAAAACTACTTCCAAATTCACCAATTCACCATAAAATCCATTTCTTGTACCGTCAGCAACTTTTCTCACCAGCAAAGAAACTATTTGAAATGAGCCAATATACATTTCATATGGCAGAAGAGAACCGATCAAATCTATACGAATCACATTGTAACAGCCATTGAAATTGACAAGAAACCAACGAACGCAGGAAAATCTGACAGCCCGTCATGTCAAGGCAACGATCTGAGAGAAAAAAAAAAGTTTCCAGATTGAAAATTCCTTTGTTCGGTGATCGCATAAAGTTGTCAAGAGTGAAGAGAGGGTTTGCAGAAATCGCAGCGATTAAGCGTGAAGCACGAAAAGAAAAGGAACAGAGCGGTGCCTGGTTTTGCTACCCAGCTTCCAACCAAACTGAATTCAAGCCAACACACTAAGTGCCCAATACGCGGAGGATGTTATAGTAAATCGATTTCTGCCACCGATTAAGAGATGACTTACCCCGCCGTTCGGATTTCGCCGCAGCCGTCGCCGATGAACCCTCCATCTCCATCCCCAGAGAGAGAGAGAATGAGAGAATTCAAAAGCGAAACACTTTTTGGATTGAGAGAATTACGGATTTTGCATTCGGGAGAGCAAATTGGGGGAGAAGAGGATGGGGCGAGAAGTAAGATGTGGCCCAGAATTCAAGGGTTTAAGGGCTTAGGCCCTATGCTTTTAAATATTTTCATGTCACCAAATAATTAATATATTAATAGTTTAGTAATAATTTTTAAATACTCACAAATGAAAAAAATAAATCTATTTTTGTAAAATAATGTTGTACCAAAGCAACAAGATGCATATACTGAAAAAAAAAATTAAACGAATTATAACATAATGTGCCCATATTATCTTCAAGGACACTCGCTATATGAGCTCTCCAAACTCAAATAGGGATATGCACTTTGATGTCTTTGGTCGGATCCATAAAATTTAAAAATCTTTTACTTTAAATTCGAAAAGTTCAGATTTTAGGGCTTACATTTGATCTTTAAATTCATAATTTTATATATTCAAATTTGGGATATTTTCCGAATATATCGTATAAATGATAACAAATGTAAATACACGAAACGAGGCAAACAAGATAGTAGTGAAATGGAAAATCCGAAAAAAAAAATAGTTTTAATATAAATTTGTAAATAGTGATAATTTCGTAAATATAGAAAAAGTAAAATGTATTTTCGTGAATTTTTGCTGCTAATAAATTATTAGTGGGAATCGGAATTATTAGTTGTCGTTTTAATAACTGATTTTCGGAATATCAACTCACATATTAGATCAAATACCCAAACATTGGATACTTTTTTAATAGACATACGTATGTTCTTTGGTGGTCCTTCTCACTATTTATTTCATTGTGCAACTTATAATTAGACTAACATTTGTCTTAATGAAAGTGGTTGCCCAAAATAAATCAAAATTCTATATAAAATCCAAATAAATATAATGTTTTAAAAAATTAAATATTAGAGCAAAAATACAATCGAACGGAAACCAAAGATTCCACCCATAGTTCTAAATTCTAATTTGCAAATGAGGTTTGGCATAAAAAGACAAATAAAAAAAAAAGAATTCACTTTGCCCAAATTCTAAGGCTATCATATGATAAAGACAACGTGGGGAAAAAAAGAAAAGCCAAATGTGAAGTTGACCCCATCACCCAATCATCTCATCACATGCTTTACTTCTTCCTCTATTTTTTTTTTGGGGGGGGGGGGGGGGAATAGGTTGCTTTAGCAAACGCCAGACACCCTATAAAATGCGCGCAAAATGCCTGCTGAGCATTCGCTGAGAAAATCTGTTGAGTTTCTTCTCTGGTTCATTGTGCGATTTGATGCGGCCGAGAGGAAGATCTCACAACCGTAGATCGAGGAGCTTCTCCAGATCCAGACTCGCCGTCGAGGGCCATTGAACTCTCCCAAACCTCTCTCACTTTTCGTCTTTCTCCGATTTCTCCGGCGTCCTCTTTCAGTTTTCCCGCGACTTCTCCGAAATGGCGTCTTCTTACGGTTAGATCTCTGACAATAACCTCCGGGGGGGGGGGGGGGGCTTTTTATTTAATTTAATGTATTTTTTTTGTTCAAAGTCACGTAAAATAGAGAGTAATTTGACTTAGACGGACGACTACGTAAAAAAAATTCAGGAAATGTAATAATATTCTAAGCATACAATACACACAAAATATTAACTATATCACAAAGCAAATAACAAAATAAAAAATATTTGAAATTTTTTAACATGGTTGCACTTTTGTTTTTTTTAGTTACAAGTTTGGTGAACACTTATGCATTCATTTGATTTGGATGCGTAATGGTGATTATACAAAAAGACAGCTTGAATGCTGAGATAATCGATTAAATTATTTATTTATTTTTTGTCTAAATATTTAATTTTAAATTTATTACCTATTTTTGTGTAGTATAATTGCTCTTGTTGGAAGTCAAGTCAACACTCACGTAGAAAAATGTGATTCGAGCATAGAAACATAACGAGTTTAACAACTACTCACTCCGTTTCAAAATATTTGTAGTTTTAGGTTATTTTTCATGTTTCAAAATATTTGTCATTCTATATTTTCAATACATTTTTTATAATAGTTTCTAATTTTATCCCTATCAAATTCTAATAAATTATTAATGATAACATTGTTTTTATCATTAAATAAGGGTATACGTGATTTTTTCTCTCTTTTCTTAAAAAATGTGAAATAAACTAAAACAACAATTATTTTAAAACGGAGGGAGTAATATCTGTCATAACCGAATCACATGATAATGTAATCTCCTTATCCAATCAATTTTGAAGTCAATGGATATACTTCTATTAGAGTATTTTAGATTTTTTTAATTATATCTATTCAATTTCTAGCATTTTACTTGAATTATATTTCGATCATCGATTTAATTTTTATTAAAAACAAATTAGTTTCTAAAAAATCATTCGATTTTCTCGATTATTTTATATTTAATTTCGTTTGATCAATATGATTATATAAAATCGTATCTAAATTAATTATAAATCGAAATTGATTCAATTATCATTATATGATTTGGTTCCATCGAATTTAAAATCATACACTCAAACACAGATAATAAAGGATATAGAAAGTTGAATTCATATTGATTTATACAGAATTTAATTTAAAATATATTTTTATATTATTCAAGTCCATTTAATATATTGAAATGGAAACCTTCATAAAAGTTTTTGCATTATAATAACAAAAAACTAATGAAAATGGTAGTTTGTTCAGCAAAAGAAAACACAAACAAGATTATATTTGTAGCTTGCCAATTCCTTAATTAAATGTCACCCTTAAAAAATATTAACAAAATTATTTGGTAAAATTTTTATATATACCATCTCAAATACAAACAATTAACTATATATTAAAAACAATATAAGCCAAAATAACTTATTTTACATGTGTTTGATCATTTTCTAACCATTTTTTTAAGAAATGTGTTATGTGAGTTCATATAATATTTTTTTTAAAAATTAATTATTCTGTGAGAGAGAAAAAGACGAAACGGTAACTAACGGCGCCGTTAACCAGTCGTGACGTTAGACATGTGATGTGATCCAAACAGTCCCTAAGCACTGGTTATACGTCGTCGTTTTGGGCTTGATTTAACCATGGTTAAATTACCTTTAACACTGGTTTGTTTTCATCGAAAGAGTGAGCTGGTGACGGATTGACGAAGTTTAGATCTTTCTTTTCACTTTCCTTTCTTTCTCTCTCTCTCTCTGCGCGTGTGTGCCGAATTTCTCTCTGTTATTTTTTTCCGTTAATCTCCCAGTGGAAAGATTCTCCTTTTATAGAAGAGGCTGATTTGATTTTATATTTGTACGAGTTTCCGTCTTTTGATGTTTTGATTTCTCTCGTGGTTGTTTCTCCGAGATCTCGTAAAGGTTTCTGGGTATGGATTTGCTTTCTATTTCTGGCCATTAATCTTATTGGGCGAAAGTGGTGGAGAAAAAGTGTTTGCAGATTCCGGGTCTCTAGAAATTTCTGATTTTTCGGGAAAAGAAAGTGTAAAAACCCAGGTTTAGCAATCGGATTCCATCCACTACGGGAGGAATTCAACGTTTCTTCATCAGGGTTCTTTCTGTTTTCGTTTAATTTCTGGTTTCTTTTTTCCTTTTCGGTGCTCTTGAGGAAGGGTGGTGAAGATGATGAAGTGGCGGCCAGGGCCGCCGCTGGTGACGAGGAAGTACGAGGTGAGATTAGTGGTGAGGAGGCTGGAGGGCTGGGATCTGGTGCGGGAGGCTGCAGCGGAGAAGGAGGAGAGATTAACGGTCGAGATTCGCTGGAAAGGTCCCAAAGTGACATTGGGATCTCTCAGGAGGACGGTGAAGAGGAACTTCACGAGAGAGGCCGAGGTTTTGTCGGGGCAGAGCGACGTCGTTTCATGGGAAGATGAAGAGTTCCATAGCCTCTGCTCCCTCACTTCTTACAAGGACAGTCTGTTCTATCCGTGGGAGATCTCCTTCTCTGTCTTCACCAGTGTAAGTGTTCATCAGTTCTAAAGATCTGTGCTTGAGAATCTTGGTTCCATTGATGATACATACAACTGAAGTTCATAGGTTTTAAAGTCGGAAACTTTGTCAAGTGTGTAAGCCAAATATAGATGATCAGCTTTACTGTGAGGTCACGGATTCTTGTTTCTTCGATTTCAATTTGAATGTAACTCCAAAACCACTGAAAAATGTAGCTGGATGATCAGGACAAGTAACTGTGTTTTTCCCCTCGAAGAATGACACAAGGGGGCAAAAGCCACAGTTTCTGTACGATTCCCTTGTCTTATTTGATTATTCTTCAGTGTTCTTGTTCTTGGCCGTACACTAGACTTTTAAATTTGGTCGTGGAATTTCTTCACAATTGTGCAAGTTTTGATTTTTTGGATTCAGGGAATGAAACAGGGACAGAAGAACAAGGTTCCTGTTATTGGTACATCGATATTGAATATTGCTGAGTATGCGCCTTTGGTTGACCAGAGGGAGTTCGAACTAAGCCTTCCTCTCAGCCTCTCTTCCGGTGCTTCCGAGACATGCCCATTGCTCTGCGTATGAATCTTTTGCTCGAACATATTGAAATTATCTGTCTTTTTTTTCCGCCATGCCCGTCTCGTTCTACTGCTTCGATACTTTCCTTGACCTCGAGGTTTCTTGCCCTGTTACAGGTGTCCTTGAGCTTGCTTGAACTGAGAACCACTCCCGAAATCTCGGACTCGGTACAAAGTCCGGTCTTGCCTGCTGAAACCGCGGGAATCGAGAAGGACGATATCTCAGCGATTAAAGCCGGTCTCAGGAAAGTGAAGATCTTTACGGAGTATGTGTCGACGAGGAGGGCCAAGAAGAAGGCTTGCCGGGAAGAAGAGGGTGGTGAAGGCAGATGCTCAACCGGGAAATGCGATCTCGAGAACAATTACAATTACCCGTTTGATTCGGATTCGCTCGATGAATTCGAGGAGGGTGAATTCGACGAGGGCAAGGAGGATGTGAGTGTTAGGAAGTCTTTCAGCTACGGGACTTTGGCTTATGCAAACTGCGGTACAAAGTTTAGCGGTGAAGATGAGGATTGGATATATTATAGTCACAGGAAATCTGATGTAGGTTGCTCGGATATTGACGATTCCAGTGCTTTGTTATATGAGATATGGTTTCCAAGACGCAGCATATTGCCTTGGAGGAAGCGGAAATCGAGTTTTCGATCCTTGAAACCTAAAGGCGAGCCCTTGTTGAAGAAGGATTATGGAGAAGAAGGCGGAGATGACATTGATCATGATCGACGGCAACTTAGCTCCGATGAAGCTCATCCTCTTGCGGTAAGAACTATGCTTTACTACGTTTTCGGTTCTCAGCATTCGGGTAAATTCTATTTCTAATTCTGTTAACTGTAACGTTTCATATTATCGCAGATGAGCAAAATGGGTGAAGACTCATCTGCTAACCGGTCATCGTTTTCTGAATTCGGAGACGACAACTTTGCCATTGGAAGCTGGGAATCGAAAGAAGTGATAAACCGAGACGGGAATATGAAGCTTAAAGCTCAGGTCTTTCTTGCGTCGATCGATCAGAGAAGCGAGCGGGCAGCCGGGGAAAGCGCTTGCACTGCGCTCGTAGCTGTAATCGCCAACTGGTTTCAGACCAACCCGGATCTAATGCCCATCAAGTCGCAGTTCGACAGTTTGATCAGAGAAGGCTCATCGGAGTGGAGAACCCTCTGCGAGAATGGAATGTACATGGAAAAATTCCCCGACAAACATTTCGATCTCGAGACCGTTCTCCTCCAAGCAAAGATTCGCCCTTTAACGGTCGTACCCGGGAAATCGTTCATCGGGTTCTTCCACCCGCACGGGATAAACGAGGGAAGATTCGAGTTCTTGGAAGGCGCCATGTCCTTCGATAACATCTGGGATGAGATTTCTGGTGCTTCGGAAGAGGAAAGCTCGGAACCTCGGGTTTACATCGTGAGCTGGAACGACCATTTCTTCGTTCTCAAGGTGGAACCCGAGGCTTACTACATCATCGATACACTCGGAGAAAGACTCTACGAGGGCTGTAACCAAGCGTACATTTTGAAGTTTGACGATAACACCGTGATCCAGAAACTCCCTAATGACGAGAAACCGTTAGAGAAAGGAACGGAACCTGATAAAATGTCGGAGAAAGGGACGGAACCCGAGAAACAATCGGCTAATGATGGGGAAGATTCCAAGGAGACGGAGGAGATTGTATGCCGAGGGAAAGAGA